AAGGCTCCTCTCTAAAATCAAGCATGGTTGAATCTTTCTTGTCCAAGTTTCACAAGTGACTCTTATCTTTCCCTGGACTAAAGCTAAACTAAAGTTTCATGGGATCTGCCCATTCAAACCAAACAAACTGTTCCATGACAGAATATAATTAACACATAAATATGGAGATTAACACATAAATATTTGGTTTTGTGCTTGGGTCTTTTTATAGCCTCCACTGATTATGCTAAATGTATTGGGTTTTTTTATTTTATTTTACTTCTTAATTTACTGAGCTCTTTTAAACAGCCTGCTTTGTACAGCTTCAGTTCTTATGCTGGCAATATTCCATTCTGAAGTCAGTGGTTTTTGTCCAGGTAACCTGCAGTTCAGATTCTAGATGCTAGATACCTAGGAGATGACTGAAACTCTCAATTTCTTTAGAATTTGCTTCCCATATACTTCCGTATTGGCACTGTCTCCAACCATTATAGTTAATCAACTCAGCAGGCATGCACAAAAAGTAACATACTTTTCTTGTTGCTTTGGCTGAAAAAAGCATGCCATTGTTGATTTTCGATTTAATGCATAAAAACAAATGACCATTTCTGGTGGAATATGGGACAACACAGTAGACCGTCCCTAACTTTCCTGCTGGCATCTTGGCTTCTCTTGGCCTCCGTAGGTATAACGCAACCTACTACCATTGTGAGAAAGTGTAGTACTTGCCTTCTAGCATGGTTCGAGCTTTAGAGAGATCCTGAGCTTGTCAGTTAAATGCTCAGGGCTTCTATAAATAGTAAGTTAGGTGATTACATCATTGTTACAGACTTATCTCCTATTCAGATACAGGTTAAAGGGAGATAAAGAGTTCTGCTGAAAACCAGATACTGTTTCTAAGGCAGATTCATTAGTTCTATATAGATTCAGACTTTACTTTGGAAGAAACAAATAAGCTGATGAAGCAGCCTGAGAAAACAAACACACCTATCTGTTATTTACGTTTCAAGGATAACTGATACCTCATATTGTAGCTGACAGCTTGGTGTAAAAAAATCAATGTGTTTGTCAGAAATGGGGATGCCTGAAGTATTCTGAATACTTTCAGCTTATGTGCTCCCTGCCCAGCCCAGCCACACTTCCTGATTCTATCTTTTTTCTTCTGTCCCACACATACAGCATATGACTTTTTTGTTGTTGTTAAACCTGACAAATAATAGCTGCTGGCGCCGAAATAACAGCAGGGAAGTATGATGAAACATGATTAAACTAGACAGCCTTGAGGGAAATTTTCAGAAAGTTCTTAAACTAGGAGTTTGTAGGGAGTGACGGAGAACAGAGTCAGCATTTAGCATGACTTCCAGGGTCCACTGAGCAAGTAATTTCACCTTTCTAAACCTCAAATTTTCCACTTGCATACTGGTGCTACTGTACAATGCTCTTCAAGAAAAGCAAATGATCACATAGGGGCTTTGAAATTCTCTGAATGTGAAATAGCAGAGTTTAAGGTTATTTGCTTTGTAAACCTCAAAGTGTCAGAATCCAAAAACCACTGATTTGCTGTAATCCTGAAATTTAAGGAGAAGGGGGGATTCCTAGTTACTCTCATTTTATTTACTACTTGGCTTCATGGATTGGATGGTTTCACAAGTACATACCTTAAAATAAACATTTTGCAAGATTTCCTCCTGTTTTGCAATTTTCCCAATTCTTTCTCTTCTACTAGAACATTAAAAGCAATGCAATAGCTCTGTAAGTTTGATTTTAATGTAAAAATCAAATTGCTACTTCAGGATAGGACATGGAAAGATACAACAGTTTCATTTGTTCAACCTCACTTGCCACGAATGGAGACATGAGATGGGCCTCATCCTCCTTTCAGTTGCTTGTGATTTACTGCATTAGCTTCCAACAAGGTAGACAGGGTAGCGTATGTCAGGAAAAGGCAAGAATGAATGGATTAAAGTCCACCAAGGGCAGCATACAAACTAACCTATTTTAAACAAACAAGGTTGTGTCAATTATTTATTATCCGCAGCATTTATAACATGTGCTATTACTCAAGGTCAACACACAAATGTTGGACTGTCACACCCAAAGAAGAAAACAACGTAAGCCTTTTTTTTTTCATAACTTGTTTCTTTTACTTTCTCTTACACGATACCAGCTGAGAGCCACTAGAGTGTCGCTGGAACTAATATACTATCCTTTCAGTAAACACTCAGTTGAATAACAGACAAAGAAAGCTCAATGTTAACAAGCACAAGGGAGAAGAAAAAAACCCATAATATCTCCAGTAAAGACATGAAAGAAAAAAGTAGAATCGATGAAGCTGACTGGAAAAGCCAGATAAAGTGGTTTTAGAACAAAATTTCAAGATTTACGCAGTTGGCTGCGCACACAAACATCTGCATTTCCCAGCTACAGGAATGTTCTTGCTTAGCTTAGTTCCACAGTCGGTTAGTGTTGCAGCTTAGTTTTTATCACAATCAGAGACTATCTGGGATGCCATTTCAATAAAGTATGGCGTCTGTCTCTGCTGTTCTCTCTACTTTATGTTCCCAGGAACATCTTCTGTCCTTTATCATATCTAATTTTTAATTTTTTTCTAAGCAACAATATACAGTATTATAACAAGTCTACTGGTATTTGTTCACAGTGTGACCATCTAAAAGCAGCATTCAGCTTTGTAACTTTGCTCACTACTATGGCCACTGAAAGGTGCTAGATAATAGTGACAAGCCTTCTCAGAGTTCAGCTAGATTTCCAAGCATCCTTATGGCATATGGAACAACTGTGAAAATTTAGATATGCAAGACATATATACTTGTAGACAGCCCCTATAAGATCTGGGCCAGATCTAGACTGAAAGGAATTTTAGAGGAATAGCACTTTTGTACTTACTGATTATCTGTGCGATATACATAACCCCACACTTGTATTCTTTTTGCTCAGCATTAATATTATTATTCATACTTCTACACATGTTAATGCAAAAAGCAATATATGCATTCTAATGATGTAATTTAAGTTGGCAAAACAGTATCCAAATGTAACTTGACCTCCATAAACCATTCTACCCTTTGCGTTTAAAATGTTCATCATCATAAATCTTATTCCTCCCCCACTCCCAGTTATTATATACGCATGCAGAAGGGGGCTCTCTATTCCAGTGCTTTTATTTTTATCTCTGACATATGTATTCCATTCTGGACTCCCTACAGTGCTATTTCTCTGGCTGCATTCCCAGGATCCTATGCTGCATCATCTGAACAGGTTTTCTTCTCTCCTAATTGCCCCTCCCAAGCATCTTTTGCCAGCATTGTGCCTATTTACTGATGAATCTTTAATGCCTTTGGATGGGACTAGTCACTATTAAATTTGAGTATCTAGACCCTGATTAAGTGCAGAACAGGATCTGTATTTGCGTTACTGTGAATCATTTATACTGTTACAGTATGCATCTTTTAGCTGGTGCGTTTTGGGGGGGGTGGGGGGCATATAAAGAATTTTTTTTTTTGGATCTGTTTCTAGTTAGTAAAACAGCTCAGTTCCTTGCTTGAACACAGCCATAGCCTGCAGAGGCTGTGACAAATACAGAGGTCATGGTCAAATTTAATAAGATCTCACATTCCCTTGGAAATGCCACCAGAGAGCAGACAAAAGCAAGAATTTGCTGAGTTCCTGCAGGAAAGCAGGCTGTTTGCACAGAAGCCCTTGGTATGCAGATGGTGTCGCTGCCTTTAGAAACGGGCTTAGAGCTGAAACCAATGGGAACAAGCTGAGGGGGCTGAGGGAGAGAGCATGCCACGAAGTAGCTTAGGAGCATGGGCTACACATGAAGGATGCTCGGGTTGGCTCTTTTTTCCTTTTGTCTGCTGTGGCGCGTGGGCAGCAGGGTAACCGGGCTGCTCAATCAGTAGGGAGAAGAGAGAATTCTACTGATGTGCGGTGAACGCTAAAAAAGGCCGCTCTTTAACTGATGCACTGCAGTGCCAGGCAGTGGGCTGGGTCCCTCTAACGACACCCCTGCTACGGCCGCGCTCCGGCGGGGGCGAGCAGGGCCCCCGCGCAGGCCGGGGCCGCCAGCACCACCGCGTGGCCGCTCGGGGAGTCGGCCGGGCGGGGCCCGCTCAGCCCCAGGCCGGGGCGCTCGGCTCCTGAACGGCTCACAGAAACCTCCAGCTGCTTGAGGAGTTCTTGAACTGTACTGACAGGCGTTACCGTGCCTTTGCTCACTCACTACTAGAGAAACAATACACAAGTGACCTGAAATATAGGAATCTGAAGGGGGATTTCATGATTTTCTAGGAAACTAACAGAAGATTGAATTTAATGATGCTGAGGTCACTTCCAATCCTCTGTCCTCTGGAAGTCAAGAAAAAGACTCTGCATAATACACAGATTTACAACATACTTGCTATGAATGGTTGGCATTTACAGATCCTTATTTCATTGTTAAGTAACAAAAATGACCTTATGATCAAAAGTAAATTCAATAAGACAATGCATGTAATGAATTAAATTCAGGCAACAAAGGCATATAGAACAGGGAAATTATGTTTCTGCTGTCTTTATAGTTTTCCTCCTATTTTTTCCTGTTGCCTTTTTCCTAAAAGATAAATGATTTACTTTTTTGGAAAGCTTTGTATAATTAAAATTGAAGAATATTCCCTAATATAGGAAAACCTACCCTTTTTAGAGGAACAGTTTAATATTACTAATGACTAGTCATTGCATAATAACCAAGACTTCTGTTGAGATCAAATTTGGGAAAGCTTCTGCCTTTTCTTATCTTTAATACTGTGGTAGATTACTGACTTGTGGGGTGTGGAACAGATTGAAGAGCCAGTCTGCAAAGCATAGTGCATCTCTTCTGATATGCTGAATATTACAGTAGGAAAGTTTGCTGTGCTACAGGATAGGTGATATGGAAAACTCAGCCAGGTTTTTGGCAAACCAAGTGGCACTTACAGCAAATTTCATGTAAAGTACACTGTCTTCCAGTGTCTTGTATTTACCTGTGCTGGGCTTCAGTCGACTCTCAGCAAGCTCAGAAATTGCTCCTGTTGTAATGGTTTTCTTCAATCTAGAGACTCCAGAAGCTGCTGTCACTCCTGGTTTTGTAAGCATATCATCACTGCTTGCCCTCTTCAGCTGCAAGAAAGAGATTTTGTGAGCAGAAGATTAAGATCTTGGATAGACCCATCAGCTAATTCGTAATACAGAGCAAGAAGATGAAGAAAAAAAAAATCAGGATCCTGGTAGAAAGGAACATTTTCAGAAAAATAACCCAATGGAAATGCTTCTTTAGTAACAGTACTTAGGAATTTAAAGGGGCAGAATGTCCTTCTGCCAGGTAAGAGAAGGAGTTTTTTTCCACCTTGGCACCAAATGAGCAGCTGTATTTTCTGTCTGGGTCAAGACCCTTGTTAACATCCCATGGGCCAAGAAAGCAATGAAATTTAATAAATTGACTCAAACACTTACTTAGAAGGTATAATTGCCCCAGTACATTTGTGTATGCACTTGACTTCTTATTTACTAAAAATTTCATATCACTAATACAAAATCTGAAGAAATAAGAAAGAGAAATTTAAAAAAAAAGGAGCTTTGCATTGCATTCTAGGTTTCCATGGAGTTGGCTAAGAGACAGTATGGGTCTGATGGTGAAGGATGAAAATGGGAAAAATGGTTTAAATAAGCAAATAACTGAGGAGGCAGGAGAATATAGTCTAGAGGAATAGACTGTTGGCAACTTGTGCTTCTTAGATGTTGCTCTGAACAGCAGTCATCATATCTCCTAACTGGATTATATTTACTCAGGTATTTAGGCCTCTGCACATAAATGCCAGCTGCAGAGCCTGACACACAGAGGAGGTCAAAGCAGCGAATAACTAGCCCCTCACTTAATCCATCTGTCACAAAAAGATACCAGCCCTAACTGGATCTGCTGCTTTTTCACTCCCCATTCAGGATCATGCTGTTTTGCCCCAGTGGTGACCTCAGATCTTCTTATGGGAGGTCTAAGCTATTCCAATTGCAAGTGACTGCCAGCTCGTTCCTGTGTTTCTGCCAAACAAGAATCACCAAACTTTGTGGCATCATAAAATGGCCTTTGTGATACGCACAAAGAACATACTGGGGACCAAGCCAAAACCCCCAAATCATTGAGCTACAGAGTTAAGGCTGCTGTACTAAAATGAAAGAGCAGCCAGTACAAGATGTTACACAACTATCAGTGGGAAATCCCTTATCTTAAACATGGCATAATTTCAGCTATTTAGCGTCTTTGTTTATTGGAAAACAGCAAGCAAAGACAATCAGTGATATTATAGCGGGAGCTAATACTATCTTACTAGGGAGCGTAGGAATCAACAGAAGAGAAACTGAAAACTGCTCATAAGAAAGGTTTTTGTTCCTGTGACCACCAAGGAAATCATTCACAGCAGAGAAATGCACTGTTTTTCAGAATTTTGCAGAATTCTAAAGATCATTACATATAATACTGATATTTTTCATAAGTTTGGAAGAAAGGAAAATGTTTGCCTTACTGGATATTTTACAGGATTTTTTCCCCCAAAATAGTAGTTGATAACACTATAATTTACTTAGTAAGGTTTATTGTGCGTGACAAAGCAACAGACTGTTGTTGCTGTGCGTTTTTTGGGTGACAGGGAGATTTACTGGTAAATTCAGGCTTACCCTAAGCGCATACTCAAGAAATCCATACTATTCAAGCACCATGAAGATAGAGAAACACTGAAATGATGTTGCTTCAACAAGCGAAAGAAGTAATTTATCTCAGAATTTGGCCAGCGGCTTCCCTATTTGTGTGTCTCCATAACAGCCTCTAATTACTACCCTGAAGAGAAATAGCTTAAGTGTTTCAAAAGACCAAGGCTCTCTGGAGTCTCTTTACAGCAGTACTTTTCAATGCTTTTCAGTTTGTGGATACCTTAACCGTTTCCACAGATCAAAACCCACTTCCTTAGAAGCTGTCCAGTGACGCCCAGAAGGTCCATGAACCACAGGCTGAAAACCACTGCTCAAGTTAAATGAAAAGAGTGCACACAACAAGCACACTCCCTATTTAGTGGTTCCTGAATGTAAAACCTTTAAGTAAAATGAAATCTCTCTCTCAGCTCCAGTTCTTTCTCCCTTTCATCTCTTCCTCTGACTCAGAGTCTGTGGTTTCCTGGACCCATGAGCATATAAGTTTCAATAGCCAACGCGTTGATACGCTCCAGGAAACCAGACATCTAACATTTTGCCTTCTGGCAGAGCTTTTGCCAGCTCACTCTTAGGAGCAAAACGGAACAATTTGACTTTCTGACCTTTAGAAAAGGCCTTCTGCAGTCTCTCTAAAGTGACTTTTTCAATATATCCTCTTTCACAGCAGAAAATGCTACCTTTTTCTAACTGTTTCTTCAAGGAAGACTACTTGGATGACCCTGCATTTGCAGGCGAACAAGAACATGAAGATATGAGCTGTAATTAGAAAGACAACCCTCTATATTTCACACTGTACGCAAATCAACCGTATCAGCTTCCATAAATTTCCTGCATTAGCCACTTCAATAGCATTCCTTAGAGATGCTTGCATCACCCGCAGAGCAAATATTTCAATGACAGCCATAACTTACCTGGAGCCCTAAACTAAAATATCCTATTGATAAGATGCTTGGAGCATCTAGGAGCCTGCAAAGTTAAGTAAATTAATCCTTTGCTTGAGAAGCTGTGAAGATTAATGATCATTAGATTTCCTGTCCATTAAAATGATGCACCATATTATGTACTGTTTACCAAGCTTTAGTATTAAAAACAGTTATAAACAGGAAGCCTATACTTTCTTTTCACCATTGTTAGCTTGGTCTATATTTGGACCGTAAGGCTATTTTTGTTTGCTGGCTACAAGCGTACAGATGCAGCAGCATTTCAGGTGTATTACTCCATTTTCTTAAAAAGGCTACTTTGGCAGAAGTTTCTGCTCTTTTTGAAAGATGTCTACATGGAAAGACAGGCTTCGTAAAATGCTTGTGTTCCTTTGCATGGAATATTTTGGCTAATATATTTTGCCTTGAAGAAAGAGAAGTACAGATTTTTAGGAATTCTATATGTCCATTAATAAATCTCCCTGAACTTCTTTACATGTGTTACTATGACTTGAGCTAAGAATGTCATTTATTTTTCCCAGTCTTCAAAGTTAAAGCAATTCCTTGGCACACAGACTGAAACAGAACCCACTCATGCCTTGTATAGATACAGAGTCTCCTCTATCACATACAAGATATTTTCAGATACGTGCCTAAATCTAACATATAGCACACTATACCACAATCTCCCTGTGCTTAACAAAGTGACCGAGCCCGCTCCAGTCCTCAAGGCGTCGTGATGTTCGTGGACTAAACCAAAGCTTTAGCTTGGAACCAGGCTGCACTGCTTGCACAGGGGTCACGGGCTAGTACCTTGCTGAGCCGAGATTCAAAGGCAAGTGAAGTTGAGGACTTGGAGGTCTTCATTCCTGTCGAGGTGGTGGAGAGTGATTTTGCTCGGTCAACCCCATGACTCCCTTGCTTTGCCACTGCACTCCAAGGCCTGGCAGCGCTCTTCATTTTCTTTCCAAATAATTCAATCTGCAGATTACTAAAAAAAAAAAAAAAAAAAAAAAAAAAAAAAAAAAAAAAAAAAAAAAAAAAAAAAAAAAAAAAAAAAAAAAAAAAAAAAAAAAAAAAAAAAAAAAAAAAAAAAAAAAAAAAAAAAAAAAAAAAAAAAAAAAAAAAAAAAAAAAAAAAAAAAAAAAAAAAAAAAAAAAAAAAAAAAAAAAAAAAAAAAAAAAAAAAAAAAAAAAAAAAAAAAAAAAAAAAAAAAAAAAAAAAAAAAAAAAAAAAAAAAAAAAAAAAAAAAAAAAAAAAAAAAAAAAAAAAAAAAAAAAAAAAAAAAAAAAAAAAAAAAAAAAAAAAAAAAAAAAAAAAAAAAAAAAAAAAAAAAAAAAAAAAAAAAAAAAAAAAAAAAAAAAAAAAAAAAAAAAAAAAAAAAAAAAAAAAAAAAAAAAAAAAAAAAAAAAAAAAAAAAAAAAAAAAAAAAAAAAAAAAAAAAAAAAAAAAAAAAAAAAAAAAAAAAAAAAAAAAAAAAAAAAAAAAAAAAAAAAAAAAAAAAAAAAAAAAAAAAAAAAAAAAAAAGATATAGATGAAAAAATAGACTTTATAGCAGCTGGACACTAAACAGAGAAGCAGAAATTGCTGGCATCAGTTTAAAGGGCTAAAAAGGGCATGCTAAACTTTCTTTCCACTCTTATACACATCAAAACTCAGCTTAGAGTATCCCACAAAGTGGCCTGCAGCCACTTAGATTTTTAATACTGACTGGTAACATGAAATAATGCAGAGGGAAAAATGATTTTTGCTGGGACATTCAACCAACTGTAACTAAAAGTCTAATATTAAAAAAGAGAGAAGGGAGGGACTTGCAATCTGTTCCATGTTACGCGAATAAATTGCTCCTCTCATACTGAAAAGAGGTATAAATGAGAACATCCTCTTCCTTATTCTTAGTACAACAGCTTCAGACTCAAAAAAATGGGTCTTACCCGTTTGGTTCAACAATATGGCCCCAAGAGACAAAATGATGACTTTTTTGCAGTGGACAAAGAACTCCCTCAATATATTCTCTGTTTCGTATAAATAAGGTGTAACAGCACATGCTTGGGTCCTCCACAAAAAAGCACGTGTCCTAATTAAAGATATTTGGAAGTCAAATTCCAAGTCACCAAATGCTTTAGACACCAGTAAATTTTAAATCCAGAATCTAGATTTCTTTCCTGTTTTGCTTTTTTTCTGCAAAGGAAAATGCTTAGGCAGAAGTTTTTCACCCATACTTAGAAGCTGTGGACTGTACTGCCTGAAGACACAGAAACCTGGTCGTGACAGGTTCAAGTCAGCAACAGAAGTCATCAGTAGTTTAGAACTGTCCCTTACCTATTCTTATGCTAAATTAGTTTGTTTATGCACTGCTAACAGACAGGTATCTATAGCATAAAAATTCTAGATTTTAACAACCTTAGGGAGAATAAGGACTGTATAAGTCAGATACCTTTTTTTTTTTTTTTTTTTTTTCAGCCACAGGCAAAACACCCAAAAATGCTGAAGCACAATGAAAGAATCAAAAATCCAAAGCAATTCAAGATATCCTTGGGAAAAAAAAAAAAATAGAAAACTACCTCTCTTACTGTCAGATCCAGGATCTTCAACTGAAATAGTATTCACTTTTAAAAAGGTCACATGAGAAGCAAGTTTCCTCGTTGTACGGAAAACGTTATATCTTTATCAGATTACTCTAGAGAAGCAGCAGCTGACGTTGCTACGGTGATAAAAAGATGTTTCACAATATCAAGATTTACAAAACATGGTAAAAAAATATCAACTTCCTTGGAAAGAAAAAAAAGTAGATCCAGTATTCCTCAGAGATAAGCTTATGCAACAGATAGATCCTGCCAGGAATCAATAAATAGAAGAGAGTTTCTTTTTTTGGATTTAGCTGAATACATTCAATCTGCCAGCAAGAACTAGTCCGTTTCCCTAAGTAGGTAGACTGCCACCAGATAAATAGCTAGTCAGCTCTTATAGATCTAAATCTATAAACTTTCAACAGCTATGGCCCCATTCAAACCAGGAACAAAACAAATATTTTTTTTTTTTTTACAAGTCCCATCAGCCATTGCCAGGGTGGGAGCTCAAGGGGGTGGAGATTGCTTGATGTCTCTTCCCCTCCCCCACTTCAGTATGACCAACATTTTTGTACTGCAGCCTCATTTTCTAAAATAGACACAGGATGTAGCTGCCTATCAGTCTTGTGTAGGCAAAAGCTAATTCATTTCTTGACTGTTAGACAGGTAAGCAAAACGCACAGAGAGATCAACTTAGTTGTCTCAGCTAGGGGAACGGGCTAACAGTAAGTATACTGTTTTATCACATAAGAATCCAAATAGACCAGCACGAACTTTGACAGTGACCTTTTGATAGAGAAACAAAATTGGAATTTCTTCCTGGCTGAATGAACAGAAGGTCTTAGGTTACATTTTTTATTTCACAGTTTGCTTTACACATTAGTTCACATTCACAAATAAGAACACTCATTGAACTCATGGGAAACAAATCTGTTTGGGGCCGACTCCTATTCAGAACTGACAGCTCCTTCCAGGTGCCATCATGGTCTACTTAAGGAGGGCTTTGCTGCACAGAGGCACAAGGAAACGTCAAGTGTTCTGCTGCTGTTTTAGGGAGAACAAAGGTAGCAAGTGACGTTTCCCGTATTTATCCCTGGTGCATTTGAAGGGAGGGTTATCTGCTCTCTCCGCAGTTCTAATCTGTCAGCTCCTAACAACTACTGACATTTATTTATTTTTACTAAGTATATTCATTAATCCATTAAAATTCTTAACTCATCCAGCATGGAGTCATCAGCTGATCTCATTCCAGGAGAAAGCAGTACAGTCTTTGTTGGGGATAATGCTGATCACTTGAGTCTTTTTTTTTTTTTTTTTTAAATCGACAGATATGTAAGCTATATTACAATAGATAATAATGTTTAGCATTCCCACAGTTTACCTTAACAATCCTTCGTGCTTTACATATAATTAATAAACTATTTTTAATGGGCATATGGTTTACAGTATTTATATGGATGAACAAGCAACTGCACATGTAAACTATCTCATTGGTTAGATCTCCAAATTATGCAGATTTTGGTTTTGGCAGATCCAGTGGTTGCACATGCATTTTTGCTTCATTATTCCCTCTGGATTTCTTCACAACTGCATCTTATACTTTCCTATATCTCATACTTTCCTGCCACGAGCTGCACAGATGCTTCTTTCTTGATATCCAGAAGAATTTAATCAAGTCATCCATAGTGTATAGAGTTCCAGTGGAGTAGTAGGTTCATTAGACCATGATATGAGATGTAAAAGGAGGAGGTATCAAAATAAACCTCAAGAAATGCAGCCAGTAGCCTGAAGTAAACTAACTTTATCATGTAACGATAGCTGAATTATGTGCCATGTGGATTTAATAATATTTTACCACATCAAGCAGATGAAACTAAAATTGAGAAGAGTACAGTTTGGATTTGTTAGTGTTTATTAGTTTTCCATGTATTTATATGGTAATAAGCATCTGTAAAATACGGAGGAGGTAAGGCTTCTTATATAATTGGCTAACCTGAACCTGCGCTGTAGGTAAAAAGTTTTAAAACTCTGAAGTGGGAGCCCAATACTTTCCACAGGCCATATATGTACTTCAAAGAATAAAGCCAGGTCACACACACCTTAAGCTGCTTTTATTCCTAGGTGATACACACCTGACTTATTAGAAGTACAGCTTCCAGAGGTATACAAAATAATAGTACTTTCAAAAAATAAAAAGTGTCCTGCTACTTTTTGCTGACAGCAGGAAATACAGCCACACAGTCAACATGAGTTTTTCTTCTCCTTCAAATTCAATATATTGTATTTCAAGAAAATAAACAAACAAACAAACAAAAAAAGCTTGGATGAAGCTCTGGGCAGTTGGAACAATGGGAAACTCCCAGAAGGTAGGTATCATGGAACGCCTGGTTGTGCACTGAGGGACTTAACTGGCTAGTCAGCAATGAACTGTCAACCAAAGCATTAGCTTAGATGCATAAAATAGCTGCAGCCAGTTAGCATTCAGGAAACAACATTAAGAAAGAAAAATTGTTTCTCTAATCCTTGCATAGAAACAGTATGTGTGGGGGCATTTTGTAATAGTTTGTGTAAAAGAAACCATCCTATATAGCCTTTATCCAGTTGCTCAAGCACACCATTTGGTATAGGTGAATGATTACAAATTGAAATAATTTTTAAGTTTGGAAAGAGAAAAGAAGATATTTGTGGAGAAACAAATATTCTGGAAAAAAAAAGAGTGTAAGGGACTGAGTTCTACTGATATAAGCTCCGGGTAACAGACTGGAGTTTCTAAAGAGACTCAGATTAAAAGACACAATACTGTATCCTTCCGTCCCAAATCTTTAACTAGGCAGCAGTTTGGCAGAGCAGTACAATCACTAAATGGCAGCCTGTGCCTCCTTGATAGCATTTTTCAGGGTGGGGCTGAGAACACTGGCTTGCAGAGCCCATCCTTCTGAGCTAGTAGAAATGACTTTGAAAGTAGCCAACCATTGTCACAAACTATCCTGAATGACAGCTTGGGAATGGGCTCACCATTAACTTTTTATCACAGCTGAACTGATCTTGAAAATTGTCCCTTTCACAAGTCAGGACAAAGGTCCCATATATGCATATTGTAATTACTGTAACAGAGGATATTGTTCAATGTGCTTTTGCCCACGATATTCCAAACCCTGCATTTCTGTGTCTGTGAAGCTGTCAACAGGTAATAGCTCCCAGTGGCTTTCAAATACGACAACAGAAGTAAGCCTACTATATTTTAAAGAAATATCAGCATTTCCTTCCAAAAGGACCCCAGAGCGGTTATGACTTGATTTCTAGGCTACTTGTAAAGAAATCTGAAAGAGAAAAAAACAGCAGAAACAGCAGCTTTCCACAAGAGATGCAGTCAAGCTGCTTTTGCAAATATAATGACACAATTACTAGTTTTACACCCATT